GTTAATGCCATTTCACAAAGGAGTTTGAAGGTCGTAGAGGTCAGCATGAATTCAGCAATTAGATCAGTGAACACAAGGCCAGGCTGGGATAGATGCTATGTTTTAAGGAGTGTGATGACCCCCAAATGTATTCGAATCTGTATATTAATGCCATGTTTTCTTAAGTTTCCACTGTATTGACTTGTTTGCCTGGCGTTCAGTTGATTGTGCTGTCCAGAAAGAGAAAAGAAAAACTTTTATTTTAAAGAAAATTATAAATTTTAGAAGTTTCTTTGAAAACTAGGTAATTATTTTGTTTTTTGTGGTTTCTTTTCATTTCTTTTGAAAATTAGCATAGCAAAAGAGGATTGTCTTCATATCATTATAGTACCAGGATTGCTAGGTAATTCTTCTAGCTAATATTTCTGTCTGAATCAGATTCTGAAATGAATGTGACATACATGGCTCTAATTTTAAATGTCAGATTAAAATACCCAGGAAAGCCAATAATGATACTCATTTCTTGTAGATAAAAAAAAAGCTCATGTAATGGATGCCATTGAAACTATTTGGAAACTAAATAAAACATATTAAACTCTTGTATTTCAATAAGTGAGCATAATTTATTTCCCTACTGCAGATGAAATTTCTTGGCTGTGCCCTAATTAGAGAAAATATGTAAGGGAGAGAATCTTGGTGCACTGCACTTTTTGAATCCTATTTGAAAAAGGATTTTAACAGAAAAGATGAAAAATCGAAAACTGATATAAAATATGTTAAAAAGGGACAGGTAGTTAAAATGATTAATGGACCAACAGTGCTGGTGGCCAACTATTTAACAAAACTGAAACAGTTTTAGATAGATAACATCTCAAACTCTGACTGAGATAATATATTTTGTAGATTTTCCATAAAATTATAGATTTTTAAAAAATATTTTCAGAAAATATTTTAGAATTTGTATTTAACTTCAGCTCCCAGTGATTTTTCTTTTTTCAAATCCCTATAATCTATACCATATAATCTAACATTTGATTATATACTGCCTTACATCATTATCTGATTGATTTCTATCTGCAGATTTTGCTTTTTTTCCCATTTAGACTATCAACAACTTCAGGCAAGGAATTGTTTCCTGTTCTCTTAGCATCCTTCCATAATGTCTCATATAGTATTGGGCATACATTAGGTGTTTAATAAATGCTTGTCAGGTGAAAGAAAAATAAATCAATTTTAAGTCTTCTTATTATGAAGAGAAGATTCATTAATTATACCAGAGGTCCGTAGGCCATAAAATTGAGCAGACTTTGAAACAATGTAATCATATTAAAACATTGTTGAATGAATATCAGGTATGTCAGTCCATTTGTCTATTAGCAACTGAAAAAAATATTGAATCTCTTGCTTTTATTTCTACTTTTTTTAAGCCTCACCAATGTTTTCTTTAGTGTGGGGAGCTCCTAGTGAGGAAACTCCCTCTACCAATGAAGATTAGCACCTACTGGGAAATCTAAAGATGTGTGGAGTTGCCTTAGGGCACTATGAAAGGTGAAGGAATTTGCCTAGAGTTACATACCCCCTATGTGTCTGAGGTAGGACTTGAAAGCAAATCTTTCCTGAATTCTACTCCTTTGATACCTGAAACTACTTACATTCAAGAAATTCATCCTTTACTAAAGTTGAAAAGTTGTTTAAGGGAGTATTGTTCAGTTCCTCACTCTATTTTTCCTTGCCACCCTCCTTCTCCTTTTCCTTCTCCTCATCATCATGAGAACATTAACAGTTTTATGGCAGCATAGTGGAAAGAGCACTGGGCCTAGGGTCAGAGAGACATGATCTGAAATCCATTCTCAGGCACTTAACTACCTGTGTGACCATGGGTACGTCACTTGAACTGTCTGCCTCAGTTTCTTCACCTATAAATTTGCGATAATAATATAAGCTACGTCCCAGGGTTATTGTGAGGAACAAATGAGAAAATATTTGTAAAGTGCTTACAAAAGTGCCTGCACATAGTAAATAATGAATGCTTCCTTCCTTCCTTCCTTCCTTCCTTCCTTCCTTCCTTCCTTCTTCCTTCCTTCCTTCCTTCCTTCCTTCCTTCCCACCAGTCCTTAGGAATACTACTGGTTTTACCTGAAATTGGAGATGTGGTTGGGAAATGAATAAATGAAGCCTTTATTAAGTTTGTTTTTTTTTTATTTTGCACAAAGCAATTGGGATAAAAAAAGAAAAGTAAGACAGTCCTTGTTCTTAAGGAGCTCACAGTCTAATAGGAGAAACAACAGAAAAAAGGAAAACATTTACATTTTACCTTTAATATCATGCTAATATTAGAGTATAAGTTTGTCACCTGTTGAGAGAGCAACACTCCCCCAATAACTTCTTTACTCCTTCACTGGCCCCAGACCATCATAGGACCATGGATGGTGAAGACCATAAGAAACCCATGGAATCACCTTGGGCGTCTTCCTCAATTGTACAAGCCTGACCCCTACCTGCCCTGGTCCTATGACAAACTCAGGAGTCCTTTGCCAATGGTTCCACCATGAGCCCTGCTCAATCAGATT